ACATCGTGGCGACCAAAACTGAATGTAGTATTCAAAGTGTGTGTCCTTACCAAGGCATTATAAAGTGATATTAACACTTGATGTTATCTTGATTCTATCCCTCTGTTTATGTAGCCTAGAACTGTGTTGGCTTTTTTGGCAGCTGCTGCATATGGCTGGCTCCTATTTAAATGGTTGTCCACTAGGATTCCAAGATCCCTCTCACAGTTACTACTATTGAGCAAGGTACCACCTATACTGTACCCGTGCATTGAGGTTTGCCTGGGCAAACCTCAACAAAAAAAGGGCATTAAACCTTCCATAAGCCATACCAGAATAACGAAAAATTGTAACAACACTTCTGGAAGCATATTGCCCATTGTACAGGTGGTCCTCAATCTACAACCACAATGGAGCCCCAAATTTGTTGCAGATATTGTTAGTTTTGCCCCATTTTGAGACTTTTTTGCCAACAGCTGTTAGGCGAATCACTCCTTAAAAAACCAGTGACACTGCTGTTAACTGAATCCAGCTTCCCCATTGACTTTGCATGTTAGGTCGCCAAGTGTGATCACATGATCTAGGGGATACTGCAACCGCCGTAAAGACGAGTCAATCGCCAAGCATCCATATTTTTTTTGGTCATGTGACCGTGGGGATGCTGCAGTGGTCATGTGAAAAACATCCATGTCTCTTTTTTCAGAGCGATTGTAATTTTGGTGGCTAAGAGTTTTTAAATTGAGAACTAATTGTTTTGATAATGCTGCAGAGTTGGGTCACAGCATGTCAAAACCAAACTGGGCCAATTAAGTATACATAAAAATGGCAGTTTTAGCAATATGCAAGACTGCTATTCCTAAAAGTAGTCCTTACTCCTTACACAGAACAAGTGCACTTCAGAAACTCCTATAGAGATACCTGCTAAGAATTAACAATGGAGTAATATTGCAATAGCCATTAGACTTATATACTGCTTCACAGGACTCTAAGTGGTTTACAAAGTCAGCCTCTTGCCTCCACCAATCTGGGTCCTCATTTTACCCACCTCGGAAGGATGGAAGGCTGAGTCAACCTTGAGCCACTCAGAATCGAACTCCTGAAGTGTCTCTCATGAATTTAACTATCAGACATATTCAATATATTCACTATAGCAAAAGCTCTCCTACACCAAAACAAACAGCTAGGTACATGAACATCTCTCTCTTTTCACTTTAGATTAGCTTTTCGCCCTATACGGGACTAACAGACTGACTTCAGGAAACTATATTATAAAGATCACTGTTTCAACTCAATAATACAACAAGCTTACATCTCGTTAGTTTTGATGCTCCAGAGTTCATGAACTGCACATTTTGTAGTATTACTCAGAAAGCAAACTGTCATTGTTACTGAAGCTTCACAGATCATGGAACAAAACAGGTTTACTATGTATTTTTACAAATTGCCATAGGTCAGCTCAAGCTATTGTGCATTTTGGGGTAGAAGAGTGTGAAATGATTTAACTAGATTGTTCTTCTTTCTTGGCTGACTAGCAGAGTAACTGATGGCCAATAGTACCCTGGCCTACCTCTATTCCCCCCTCCCCCATGATTGATTAATTTTCCACAAGTGTAATGACTTTAGGGAAAACATTTCTACAATGCAATATAAATAACATTTTATAGATTAGCCATTAGGCCATATCAGTATAATATAGTAATAAAAGCAACAGTAGGACTATGGCCGATCAAATCTTGCCAAGTATCAAAGTACTGGTATACAAATTTGATAAGTTCAAAACAACCAAATGGAAGCTACTAATGGGACAAGAAGCTTGTTTGCAAAGGAGGCTATGTAGCCCAGCCATGCATTTTTCAGACTATAACACAGTGGAATGAAAGCCCAGTTATCAAATTGCCATTCGAAAAATTCTTTTATCAATTTGTAATTTATGTATCACCAGTAATCAGTAATTAAGAACTTTAGACTAAGAGAATTTTAATTAACCAGCCTCTAAGTGCAGGTCATAATGTATATCCTACAATGGCCATTGGCTTGATATTTTCTAATGTTTAGATGCCATTTAATTAGTTTATTAAAATGACTAAGTGTTTATGTAGGGTTAGGCTAAGCAGGAAAGATTAACCATATTGTACTTCAACCTCTGAAATGCAACACACACCAGCTACTTTCGATATTGCACACTTGCTACTTTTAGAGCCTCGAAAGATTCCTCCAAAAACAAGTTAGCAAGAACAGAACTCTTCTTTCTGCCTAGTCATACAAAGCTGGAAAAGCAAATCGGTGAAACACGACTTTAAAAAGAAACATCCTACATCCTACAAGCAGGCAACACAAAATTGTATTATTATTTTTTGCAGCCAATTTACTTTTCGACCGTCTTGCAAAAAAAACCAAAGGCCCTTTTGGTAAGATGCACAGATCTAGATGGCACTACCGATTTCCTACTGCAATCTCCATCCAAAGCTCTATCAAGGCCTGTTTTTCCGATGCAACGAGTGCATTAAAAACTACCGCCCCCTTTTCCTGAGCCAAGAACAGCCGGCGAGTGAAAACGGACCAGGATCGGAGAATGCAATTCTCAGCATTAAGGAAAAGGGCTCTCATCTTTGACCTGATTTCTCTTTCCAAAGATTTCTTTCAACGGGGGGGGAAAAATTGACTGCTCCTACGGCCCTTTGCAGCAGGCTTTCCCCTCCCTCGCCCCATTCTGCACCCACAAACACACCCGCCAAGGCTTGGCTCTTCCAGCCGGCAACTCCCTTCCATCCGGGCGGGCTGTCACGAGGGTGGATCGCTCCTCCCGCCGCGCAAAAGGCACCAGAGCAGGAGAAGGACGCGATCGGACGGGGGGGGGGGGAAGAGAAGGGAGGAAGGAACAGCCGCTTCCTGGACGCCCTTTACGGCGCTCCGCGGAGAGGGGGAGGCGGCGGTTGCTCGGGACAGCCGCGCGCATGCGCTAAAGAGGGCCGGGGGTGAGGGGGGCAAAGGCTCCATTCGCTTCCACCGCCTTGAAAGGGAGAGCCCAGTAAAGCTCGCTGCTGCTGTTGCCGCCGGCGCCGCCTTTTCCGGAGCGAGCTGGGGCGCAGCCAGCCGAGCCGTCGGAAGAATGCCGCCGCCTTGTCACGTGACCTCCGGCCGCCGTGCAGGCAGCAGCGCAGCGCCGCCCTCGCCCCCTCCAGGGAGAACGTTCCGCCATCTTGAATTGACGCAGTTACGACTAACCGCTCGAAAAGAAGCCGCCGCACAAACGCCCCCTCCGTTCTCCTTTCCCCACTCGCGAAAGGAATTGGGGAGTGGGGGAATGGGAATTACAACCGGCCGCGGACGACGCAACGCGGCCGCTTCTCCCCGGCGCCGCTCCGCTTTCCCCTCCCTTGCTGTCATGGCGCCCGTTTTCTTCTCTCCCTTTGCGCCAGCGGCCAAACCCCCCAACGACCGTCCTTCCCTCAGCCCTGCCCAAGCGGAGGCGTCTGCCCCTGCTGCAGGATGATGTCAGCATCTGCCAATCGGGACGCGCCTCTTCGGGGCGTCCTTACAGCCGATTGGCTGCCGCTCTTCAGGCTAAGCTTCCCTCCCCCTCCTCTCGGGCCACGCCCCTCGACTGAAGGTTGCTCGCCGCGGTTCGCTGCGGAGAAAAGGCCCGGCAGGGGGAAAAAAAGGAGGCGGGAAGGGCAGGGAGCAAGTTAAAAACGCCACACGCGCCCCCGACACAAGACGCTCCTCAACCGCCGCCATTTCGTACTGAGAAAGACACCTCCCTCCGCTCCGCCAGACACAAATAAAAAATAATAAAATAGCCAGCGGGACTAGACAACGGGGGGCCAAAAAACATCCATATATACACACTGACAAGACATTTAATCGCCCGCCCTTCTTTCACCCCCACCTCTGCGTACCCAGCGCCCCATTACAGCCGCCGCCTCAGGGTCCCGGCCGGGCAGCCAAGCAAAGCCTCTCCCGCCGCTTCTTTCTCCTCCTGCTGCTGCTGCTGCGACGGGGAAACGAGCTATTCTAGCCTGCCCTTCTCCTTCCTCCTCCCCTCGGTTCTCCCGGCTCCATAAAAGCAGCGCCGAAGCCGCCAGCCCGGCTTTTATCTGGTGCCCCGAGTTTGCGCACTGAAAGGAGGCTCAGTCAGCCCCTGGTGGGCGTCGAATGAAACCCCAGCCCGCCTCCCCTCCCGAGCTCCGCAGCCGCAGAGACGGAGGGTTTTTTTTTCTGGGCCGGCGCCCGCGGAAAAGCCGAGGGGTGTCAGGGCGCCGAGCCGAACCCCCGCATCGTATCGTCTCTGTCGCCCTCCTTCACAGCCCCTTGTGAAGAGGAGCTCGGCGCGCCTTCCTCGGTCCCGACGGTCCCCCCCCCCCGCTTCGGAGGGAGCGGGACGGAAAGTCCCTGCGCCTTTTGCAAGAGCGAGCAGCTCCTGGTCGGCGATCGGCGCGTCCTCGGCTCCTCCACGGACACATTTTTGTCAGCCCATCAGGCCTCCTTTCCATCCCTCACCCGGGATCCGCCAGGCCCCGTGCCTCCCACGCCGGCTGAGAGAAGCTAAAGATAGCGCTGTCATCCCGTTCACACAACATCCCCCCCCACAACCACCAACGCAACCCAAACAAAGCGGCTCTTTTTCAAACTCTCCGGCCCGGCCTCTTCGCACAATAGCCCTCCCTCCTTCCCCTCCTCCATTTTCTCTCCCCCTCAGGCGGCACTCTTCGCTTTCCAGAGAGAGGGGGGGGGGGCGTTCCTCTCTCATCATCATCATCGCCATCACCCCCACCCCGCCCTGGCGAGACTTTCGTCGCCCACCCCATCCTCCCTTTCCCATCTCCGACCCGGACCCATCCTGCGCAGCCGGGGCTCGCCTTTTCAAGGGCAGCCCCCTCTTTTTTCCCCAGCTGCGAGCCCACAAGGAAAATGGCGGCTGTTTGGCTTCGCCCTGGTAACCCTGCCCCTGCCAGGCGGGGTGGGCGAACCCGTACGGCAGCGGGAGGAGGGGGAGGCGACGCCATTTTCCCAGAGAGAGAGAGAGAGAGAGAGAGAGAGAGAGAGAGAGGCAGTGACATCGGAAGGAGCGTAGGCGGCTGCGAGGAGGGAGACACGGGAGCCAGAGGAGCAGCGGCAGCGGCGGCGGCACGGGGGGCAACCAAGGGGTGGTCCGAGAAGCGGTTCGCAGCGGGGGGCCCTGTGCAGCCAAGCCAAGCCAAGCCAGCTCAGGGGGGTTAGCTGCCTCCGACCCTCCTCCTCCTCCTCTCCCCGCAGCCTCTTCTCGCTCTCGCTCGCTCTCTCTCTCACCCGCGGGACCTCCGCAGCGGGACGGTTGCATTGTGGTGGCGGGGCCAAGCCAGGGGCTCGGGTCGGGGTGCCGCTGCCTGGCCGGTGATCATTCCAGGTGAGTTCGGGGCCGCCGCCGCCGCTATTTGTTATGGTGCGGTTGTCATGCCCGGAGGAAGGCGGGGGGGGGGGAGAGAGAGGCAGAGGGAGCGTCTCTTCTTTCCCCGGAGCATCGCCGCCCTCCGGGGGTGGGGGGCGCGTCCGTCTGGGAGACCCTTTCTCAGAAAGGGAATTTTATTATTATCATCATCATTATTATTTATTGTTAAAACTCCTGGCTTTTGCCTCCTCCTCCTCGTAACGCCTGTGTGTGTGTGTGAAGGGGGGAGGGTGTCACCTTTTAAACAACCGAGAGAGTCGCTCCCCTCTTGTGAACATGGCGCGTTTTATTGTAAAAGCGGCGATTTGCGTCCTTTCGTGGCAGTTTTTTTTCCCTTTTTAATCTTCATCTTCGTATTTTGAGGGAACGGAGGGAGGAAAAAAGGCTTGACGGGGCCGCAGGGGGAAACCCCTCCTCCCTATGGATTAAAATAAAAGGGGGGGGGGTCTTTTCTGACAGGAGCCGACTTTTGTGAGGGGAAAGGCGGCTGTTCTTCGTCGTCCCTTCAAACCTGCCTTCTTTCCCCCCCCTCACTCCGGAGGGGCCTAACTCATCCTCCGCTCCGGGCCAAACCGTTCTCTCTCGGCTGTAGGGACGGCGAGCCCGTCCCCGCTTCATGGGAGCGGACGAGGCGGACGCGGCTTTTTTTTTATTTATATAATTTTATTTATAGCCGCCTCCGGGCGCTGGCGAAGGACCGCTCTTCCCTTTCTGGAGGAAGGGCGCGGAGGAGGACGACGACAAGCTTTCCCGGAGGGGGAAGAGTTGAGGGGAGAAGGGGTCGCTCTCCTGCTGCGGAACCGGAGGCGGGGTGGGGGGGGTGGCGGCCGTGAGAGAAACAAACGGTCGGCGGAGCGAGGCGCCCGAAGTCCCCCCCGGTCTCCTCAAGAGTCCTTTCGTCGTCTCCGAAGCGGTTGCTGCAAGCAAACGCCCGGCTGCCTCTTCGCCTCAGTTTTGTCAAAGAACGGGGCGCCCCCCCCCCTCTTTTAACTGAGGACGGGGGGGAGACAGAACGGATAAAGCGGGGCCCGCCAAAGAGCGGTTGAGGGGAGGGGGGGTGATCGGGAGAAGGGTCGGAGGGCGCGCTTCTCCTCAGGAGACACGGGGCGTAAAATAAATGCGAACAACCAAACACCGCCGCCGCCATCCTCATCATCCTCACGACGAATAATAATAATAATAAATAAAATAAAGTGCCGTCAATAACTCTTTTACGTTTTTCGAAACCCCCCCTCCTCTTTTGTCCTTTTAAGAGATTCTAAAAATGGCGGCCCCAAGGCTGATGTTGTGGTAATCTAATCAGATCGGGTCCTCCACACCCCATGCAGTGCGCTCTTTTTTTTTTTTGTCTGCAGCAACATTTTATAATGGTGCTGCTTCGTGGGTTTAATTAAATAAAATAAATAAAAAAATTTAAAAGGTTTTTTTTAAAGGGGGGGAGGGGCTCTCGTGGACGAGAAATAATAATAATAGTAACCCCACCCTCACCGGATCGCTTTTTTTAAAAAAATATATATATATTTATTTACCACGGTGGGGAAAGATGCTGCTATTGTTCCCCGCTTGATTAATTTTATTGGGGCTGTTTTGTGAGGAAGGCGAATTGAGCCCAGAGCGATCTATCTTTCCTCAGGGAAGGGGAAAGGCGGACGGGTCCCTTGAAGCTGCTTGCGGTTTTCTCTCTCTCTTTAGTGTGTGTGTGTGTGTGTGAGAGAGAGAGTTCAGATGCATTGCCATATTAATCTTTCCACTTTTTATTTTTAAAATGGTGGACAAGTAAGTTCCTTTGCTAAGATTCGTGTGGGAACTGTCTCTCCCACACGCCGAAAAATAAGGCTGAGGGGGGAGAGCCGATTATTTTAAAACGGTATTCCTATTGAAATGACCGTCAAAAAAAAAATTTTTTTTAAATCTATTAATAGTATCTTGCTATAGGACAAAATATTCCAGAGTTCTCTGTTTCCCCTCCCTCCCTCCGGGAAATTACATAGATTTAAACTTGTGCTTTGCTCTCTCTCCTTTTGGATTTAAGTATATTTAATGTTTCTACAGTTTTTTCCTCTGTATCTGAAATTCACTTTTTGTGTGAAGATTATACTTAAGCTATTAATTTACATTGACTAATGAATAGTGATTAATGCAAAAGGCAAATACCAAGCTGTTTAGCTTCTCTCCTCCATAGTCCCCTTCAAAAATTTATTTTCCTATTCTTTTGAGGGACCTTTAAAGAAAAGTATAGGAAACTTTGAGTTCCTTTTATTTATTTTTATTGTGCTATTTGTAGTGAAATACAAATATTACTTTAGGAAAACATTTTCTGCAGTGGCTAATAGTGGTAATATTTACTAGTATAATGCTAATAACTACTTTACATTAATGCTTTCTTTCTTTTAGACAATGACAGAGAATGGTATTTAGAAGGCTGATCATGTATGGCTTCAGTATATTGTGAGGCCTATAGCATGTAATGTATTGTCCTTAAATACTAATTTTGTCAGAAGGAACATTTTGCATCCTTTGGAACATACATATTTTCAGAACATGATTCCCAAGAATTGTGTAAAGATTGTGACAGTTTCTTGATAAAAGTGGTACCCATACCTTCATTTTGGTCATAATTTGTAATTAGTGGATTTGATTTATGCCTAAAATTGATTGGCTGAATTTATTGCTAATATTTGGTCTAAATGTGATTGCAAAACAAAATTTATAGTGACTTTCTGGTTTGCTCTCATTGGTTTCTGACAGCAACTCTATGATTTTTGTTTAATTTGCTTAAGGAAGCTATGAGTAGAATTCTAGATTATATAGAAACCCATCTGTCAGTTCAGTCTTTTATATAGAAATGAAACCATCTTAAACCCTTTGTTCTACATTGCTCTCTTGTGACAATATTGCATTCCCTAGTAATAGGCTTTAAACTGCCCAAATAATTTCTGAAAAATTATTAATCAAGCATCCCAAATTTATACATCCTTAGTTTGAAATAAGACACTTTCTTCTACAGGATATTCTCTGTTCATAGAATTGTAAACAAGTATGATCCTGTGTATGTTTATTATAGAATAAGCATCTTGAATTTCCTGGAATTTGGTTTAAAATAAATAGAATTGCAATGTAAATGGCAATTTTGCTATAGATTCAGTTGGCTTCAGCAAATTCAAAATACTGTCTTTTAAAAATACTGTTCTTGCCCTTCTATTTCACTGATTGCATGGCAATCATCTCTGTTCTTAGTGGAGATGCTCTGTATGCAGATCTTGACTATTATGATGGTGAGTAATACATCATAGTAACATTTTTCAAAAAGAAAACAAAATAAATGATAATTGAACGCTTTTCCTAATGTATGAAGTTAAACAATGAGGCCTAACATAAGAATGTTTATTAAATAATTTCAGAAATTATTTGGCTATTTATGTATTGGTCAGGAATTAAGAAAATAAAACTCTTGAATAATAACATTCATCCTGAAATATGATTGATTCCTTGGATCTTCTTGTATTTTTAACACAATGTAGGACATAATGGGATTTAATAAATTATTACATGGTGCACATTATTTCCATATATGGATATTCAGGAATAGTTCTAATTTCCAGAGTCTATTCAAAACCAAGTCCTGTAATGTTCAGTGAAGCTTATTCCCAGGTATAGGATTGTAAAATTGTAATCATAGTACAATCCCAAAATATTTAACTGTTTTCCAAACTGTGGAAATGAAAACCTAAGACTATGCCCAGATCTCACTAAAATTTTACATTTTGGTATAAAGGAAGTATTGCTTTATTCCTGCTAGACTAAAAACTGCATAAATTATTTGATTTGCGACACATTTTAGTACCTCAAATTACATTAAAGTATGTGGTAAGCTCCAAAATATTCAAGTAGTTAAGCCTAGTTTAAATCCTAGAACTTGAGTATTGTCCAAATAATTAGAAAATACAAGAATGAATCAGTTTAAATCAGTGGTATGCTTTCTAATACACTAATTGGGAGGTAATAGATTATATTAGAAGGTGTTCTGATACTAATTATAGGATACAAAATGCCTTGGGATGTACTAGTAGATCTCTAGGTAATTTAGAGTGGATTGGCAAGGGTTTCCAATTCCCCATTGTTTGATAATAATAACAACATAAGGTTTCACCCCTTCCCCAAATAGATTACTGAAACTATTTTGTAGGAAAATAAAGTGGATTTATAATGTGTAACTATTACTCTGAATTTAATTCTGGTAGTGAAAATACCCAGAAGTCTCCTGTTTTGGATTAATGCCAATTGTTTTTCAACCCTGTAGAGCTCAGATGTAAAAAAAAAAGAAAGTGGATCTTCAATACTGAAATTTTTCTATTCTTACACCAGAATACATCTAAGATATAAAAAAATGAATTTTTGTAGCTCAAGCTAAGCAAAAAATACAGAATAGTGATGTTTCAGATGCTACAGTCCATTCTGTTCCTTTAATAAAAGGAGCCTCTGACCATAGAAAGGAACATGACAAAACTTTTGGCTTTTGCCTGTGTAGAGAAAACATCTCCATGCTGGAGTTCCCCTCAAAATATTGACCAAGCAAACATTACAATAGAATATAATGTCTAGTATAGATAATGCACAATAAATCTTTGCTCTGGCTACCAAATATGTAATAGAAAACATAGTTTATTGTGCTATGTAATACTGGCAGTTTTCACTAGCTACCTTCTTAGTGGCTATCTTTTCAGTTGGCTGTCAAGTTCAATTAGTTGTGAGTCCCAATATCTTTCAAATTAATCACTATTATGCATTCTGATTTAGTTGATTTAAAATTAATCTCATTTGCAGATTTTCTATCGGGATACTTTTTATATGTTCAAAGCATCAGAAATTTACTTGTGAAACAGTTACTATTTTGAAATATTACATTAAAGAGAATTAGATTTTGCATGTAGAATTGGCGATAGGTAATTCCTATTCTTATTAATTGAAATGAAATGATTTTTTTCATGTAAATTGTTAGATAATTGACAACTTTAACAGGAGTGATCTGTCAATTAATCAAAACTTAGTCCCCAAAACATAATCTGGATTAGTTTCCTTTCTCCTTGATACTATGATATAAACCATTTTGATTCCTAGGCTTCCATTCTAAGAGTAAACTTTAGGATCTGTATTAATGATAGCATGTGGTATATAGCCACTGTTATGAAACCAAATAATTGTAGAGCTAAAAATATGCTTATTTTACTCTGGATGACAACTGTCCTGTCATTTATTATATTTAAGAGAGCCAGTTTGGTCTAGTAGTTAAGGTGTTGTTTAGTAGCAGGAAAACCTGAATTGTAATCCTGCCCTGGGCACGAGAACCAACTGCATAACTTTGGGGCAGTTACTCTCTCAACCTTAAGCAAAAGACAGTGCTAAACCTTTTTGCAAAAGTGTTGCCTAGAAAACTGCAGGTTGTTCATGCAGTCTCTTGGAATCAGGATCCTCAAGGGGGAGGGGAAAACTTGGGCAAACATTGATATGCATGTCTTCTATTTAAAAAAACCCACAGTGTTTTTATTCTGTCAAACAACAAAACTCGAATAATGCAATGTTTTTTTTTAAATGTAGATCATGATAAAACTTTTCCTCATAACATTTGTAATGTTGCAAACCCGACAACATTTTTCTGTTTTCCTATTGCAGTTTCTTTAATAGAGATGGAAAAGGTTCTCAGTATTTGATTTCTTATACATAACATCTTGAATTGCCATATTACAATACCATGTGCATTCCTTTCAAAATGGCATTCTATCCTTTTAAAAAAGCATTCTTCTATCTGATCACTCCAAAACTGTTTTGCCATTTTTACATATTTTGGGTAACTGCTGTCTGTGTCAGTAATATTGCTCTGTTCTGATCAGGTTCTCTGAAAAATGAGGAAAGATACTATAAATACTAGTTTATTTTGGAATGGTACTACCCTCTTTCCTGTAATTACTCTGTAATAGTATGGGCTATTATGGCTGTAGAAAAAAAATTAAAATTTTGTGCTGAATTTTGAACTACATCTGTGAAAATAAACATTTAAATGCTGAAGATTATCTGATTCATCTTAAGGACTAGGAGTCGAATTCTTTAGATAACTGTTTCTGGCATTTTGTCTCTTATCTATAGGATATACAATTCAGAAAGCCTTGGTTCCTTCATCCTGGACTGGAAAGGATGTAAACAGTGTGAGAGTCAACACACTGTACAGATAGGATTGCCAAGGGAACAGTTATAGATGTGAATCAAGATACCCATAAAGATAGGTTGGAGAAAGTTGAAGAGAGCTAGCTAGCTTATATCCCAGTCGGTCTACGGATATTTACCATAGCAGCTTACAAGCTTAGTAAATTGCTGACCTGTTCTATTTGTTATAGTGCTGCCACTGCTGCACACTGCTAAACTGCTCTGCAGTTTTCAGTCTAGTAAGAATGAGATGACATGAGCAGTTGAGTCCTTTCTGACCTTTGAAAGCTGCTGATTCTGGCCTAGATCTTCAATCAAAACAGCTCTTTGTTCATAGACTACTACTCTGCTAAGCCACCTGTCTGCTTCCGGATGCCCAGGTTTAGCATATATGTAAGGGGAGGGGAGGGGAGGGGAGGGGAGGATGATATTAGGAAGTGAAAGGAGAAGCAAACATTGTAAATAAGAAAAAGCTGAAATTAAAAGTGCCATGATTGGTTTTTATTTTCTAATAGCATTTTCTATTCTTGGTGGCATGTCGAATACAAAATTCCCAGCTGGAAATATTTAGAATTCTTTGTACATAAATTACAAGTTACCTGGCACTGCAGAGAGAAAGGCAGAGAGTGAAAGGCAGAGGGGAAAGGAGGGAGCGAGAGAGAAATAAGTAACATGAGTTAGCATTCATATATACTTGTAAATCAGTAAATCAAATTGTGATTTTTAATCGTAATTAGTTGCGTTTATTTTGCTTTGAAGGTGCCAGGATCAGATTGTCTTCTCAAGCAGTATTACAATTTAATATCGGGAATGGTAACAATATGTAACTTAGAATTCATTTAAGTTGTCATTGTTTTATCTTTCTACTTTTATTATATATATGTTTTTACATTCTGAAGGCTTATGGCAATGCATTTGAAAGTCTCCCCATAGTTTATCCTTTTAGCAACCCCGTGTGTTATATTAGGTTGAGAGATGGCAACTGGCCTCAAATTATCCAAGTAAGCCTATTATCCTACATAGTCTGACTTTTGGTTGCTGGCTTTTGGGGGTTTTACGGTTTGTTTTACTTGGTTCTTATCACAGCAGGTAGCAGTATCTCGGTGATCTTAGCTGATTATTTAAAAAACAACCAAGCTAGGGTAAATATAGTTAGTACTTTGATATTATCAACACAAGGCCTATAGGCTACTTAAAAATGCAATGGCAAACTTTGATAGCCTTGTCAAGAAAACTACTTGAATGTGTTTTAGTCATCACCAGGAATTGAATCTGACTAAAGAGACTCTTTACCTCCACCTTTATACAGTTCCTAGCTCGATTTTGCATATTATATATAGTAATTTAGTAGCTTTTGAAGTCCTGAGCTTCTTTAATAGTATTACTGAAACTACCAGTTATAAAAAAAATATTGGAATATATTATAAAGGGTACTCCACATTTATGTGTGGAAATATACAATATACATTTGTAATCAGTCTGATTAATTGTTATGTTCTTTTTGGCATATTTATATATATCCCACCTTTATTATTTTTACAAATAGCTCAAGGCAACAAACATTCAACACAGCAATCTCCTCCTATTTTCCCCACACCCTGTGAGGGGAATGGGGCTGAGAGAGCCTGAATGGTCCCAGGTCATCTCACATGGCTTTCATGGCTAAGGCACCTAACTCACACATAGGGACACCCTTAATCAATTTAACATGTTTTTCCGTCAGTGATTTTCTAACATGCCGTGTGGCAAAGTTTTGTGCAGCGGTGTGGAAGATATGCAGGGTATTGTTATTTAATATTCTCCATTTTGGTTTGTACCAAAAGCGGAAATATGTATGAATCTTGCCCAAAAAGGATTGTACATCAATGCTCTAAACTACTACCAATCTTTCCTCACTTGAATGTCTCTCTTTCCTTTGGGAAAATCCTCTTTTGCTTGAAACAAAGAGGACTGTGTCTGCTATCTTGGCTGTCCATTGCAAACTACTATTACGGTACTGATCCATTAGCAAATTTTGTTCCAAAACTATTTTAGTCACTGCTATGCGATAAATATTCGTATGAATTATTTCCTTGTTTGAAATATTTAAGATCACAATGCGTTTAAAATAGCTCCTGATACTGAATGAAGTTATATGGACAAGTTTTAATCTTTTAGAACATTGATATTAACAACATGGTTATAAGATGCCTATTGCTTTCAGGTAATAAAGATGGGTTACAGCAGTTGGTTGAACAACTTCATCCAGACAGTAGTAATGAATGGAACAACATCAGACTGCAAAGAGGTATCTAGTGAGAATTCCATAAAAACCAGTTCTGAATGTAGTGTAGTTATCTTCATTTAACTTCTTAACTGAACACCCAGAGTTTATGTCTTAACCAATTGGAAAATAGTTTGAAATTTTTCCAGTTGCAGACAGTGGGCCAGCAATTCTATTCTAGGCTATATTTTAAAAGTAAATTATTTAACAAATTTTAAGCAGCAGAACTGACTGTTCTTAATGCTCCTTAAGTTCTCTTGATATGCTTCAAGATTTGGCATTTTTTAAAAGACTCAGGAAGATGAGCCCACATATAAAAAACCCCTTTGATCTTCTGGCTAACAGGACCTTTTTGACTTTTCAGTGAAGTTCTAAAAGAATATTTTACGCATATTAGTGCTACGTTCTTGGAGTTAGCTGTTTGCCTATTAGATCCTCTTCTCTTAAGTAGTAGTTGGAGCTACAGCTAATGCTTTCCCCCTTATAAAAATGTTAAAAGGGGGCTGGCATAATTGGGATGTGGAAGGCTTTATGACCTATTATGTTTGGTACATTAATTAAATTTAACCTTACTGATCCAAAGAGAATTTTTTAACTGAATATGATGCTATATTTCTTAAGTATTTACATCATTACAGCCAGACAAGATCTTAGCTAAAATTATAAAGCTATTCTTGCATTTTATGTTCCTAATGAGCAGAGTGGAACACAGAAACCACTTTTTTTTTTTACAATTTTGGAGTGCTAACTTTAAAAAATAGCATTATTCAAAATACTGAATTAGATCTAGATTTAGTCATAGCGAAGAATGGTAATGGCTAACTTGTCCATTTGATTTCAGTTGGACCTATTCTAGATATTACTGAGCCCAAATCCAATCCATTAATTTAAAAATTATAATTGTGCAATATATATATATGTAGTATCTCCTATTCAGTGAGACTTTTTCTGCTTAGAAACCAATTTTTTCTATTCTGCATTTTTCTAGCAGATGTGTCAGTTTCATTCCTGCTGAGGCAGTCAGAACAGATGGTAAGCAATGTAGTAGTTCAGACAAATTAGGTGTGCTTGGTATACAAATTTTAAGTTAGTAAATATTTTCTAATAGGGAGAACGATACAATGAATGCAAATTTTACAGCTCAATTGATGTAAGTAAGGCTTTTTTTAAAAAAACTCAATAAAATAACTATTTGAATGGGCATCTTCATTTAAAAAATAGTTCATTGCAGAGACAAAAGTTTAAGGAAGATAAAAACTACATTTCCATGAGATTAAGCATCACACTAAGGCAAAAAGGCTATTTTATCAATATTATATATTCAAATACTAATTATAATTAATTGTGATGAAAGTAACTTTTGGTTTTATGGAACTATAAATCCATCTTGCTCACAGTATTAGGATTGTCAAAAGATAGCATATAGATTCAAAAGAATGTAAATAAATGAGAACACATAAACAATAAAGGTATATAACATTCTCCAGAAATGTCATGCAGGTGAAGTTTCATATTGAATAGTACTTGGGATAGATGGTTATCAGTTGAACCCTTAAGTGCAAAATCCTAAAGCATTCCCCCCATTTATAGAAATTTCTATAGGTGTTATACCTCTTTGACATCAGAACAGAAAGATGATTTACTCAGGTGGCTATTGTGAGGGGACTGGGGAAGACCTCAGAACTATAGGACTTCAACAAAGTTCGCCAAAAGGGGGAAAAGCAGGGCATTTTTCTGTCCCTAGCAGCAGGACTATTGTTCTTGACCACATTTATTAATCTCCAGTTCTAATGCTGGGGATGTAAATATTAGAGCAGAATAATGCAAATGAATTTACAAATTTTGATATCTGAGCATTCTGCAGCTATACAGAATTACTAATCCAAATAAATAAGTTTATTTTGACATAAAGTTAACAAATGTGTATCAGGTTAGAAAAACTGCAGAGGTGCTTCAACACTGAGATTGTGTGATACATAATTAAGAAAAATGAATGTACTTGTATTATATATTAGACTGCAATATTAAACACAGTCAAGAATGTATCATTGAACTCAGTAAGATTTTGTTTGGATATATTTATACCATGAATCAATGTTTTCATTTTTAATGTTTAGATTCATTCTGGGAAAAAATATGTGACTTTTCAACTTCTGTTGTTGTTGTTGAACAGAGTTTGTGGATGCACTTAGATGTTTGCAATGAGCACTGTGGCTGGCATGCCCCAGTGTTTTGGATACCAATGCATAGAAATCCATAGTAAACGAATTTATCAGAAACGAACGTCATGAGCATAGTGGTCCCGTTGGGGGTTGACACAGCAGAACCATCTTATTTGGAAATGGCTGCAGGCTCAGAGTAAGTATTGTAGCATTATAGCAACTTTGTTTTCCTGTTGTGTTACATTGTTTTCATTGATAGAATGCAGTATTTGTTACCAAATTTCAGTAGATTTGTTTTCTGCACCTAGTGTGCAGAAGGATTAATATTCATTGATAAAATAAATAAATCAGTTTTTAAAAAAAAAAACCTTTTAAAAAGTTTCAGCTTGGTAAACTTGGTAATTTAAATATGCTAAGGTATAATTATAATGTGACATTTAACAATAGATTTTTTTTTAAATGTTAACACCTCATCTTTTAAAACAAGTTTTTTAATTATATTTTCCATGAAGAAATTTTATATTTTACTTCTGGGTTATTTGGACTGTCCAGAATTAATATGTTCTAGTAGAAACCGGGAGAAGGTGAGTTTCTGGATGCTGGTATATCCAAAAGGATGACTTATAAGATCTTTTCATTGAGTTTCTATTACAATAAACATGTTAGGATCTGGACGGAGGTGAACAAACTTGTGCTCAATCCCGATAAGACTGAGTGGCTTTGCATGTTGCCCCCGAAGGACTGCTTGGACAGTCCATCCTTAACCCTGGGGGATGAAAATTTACGCCCCTTCAGAGAGGGCTCGCAATTTGGGAGTCCTCCTGGATTCGCAGCTGAAACTGGAACATCATCTGTTGGCTGTGACCAGGGGTTCATCTGGTGTACCAACTGCGGCCCTATT